GTTCACGAAGGCACTCATGATCAGAGTGAATGTGATAATGAGGTGAATGTGGACATCGCTGTGAATTTTCCCCTCATTTATTCAACCTGAAACCCATACAAGCAACTTCTTGCCTTCTAGTTCAAAATGAACCTAACCTGCTCTGTTCATGGAAGAATCCGACGGCATGCATGAGCTCATGTACGATCGTGCCAACTTGAATGCAGCCGGAATCTAGCGAAACTGTCCTGTTGACGCCCTCAGTTTCTTGAAAGTATGCTAATGCAGATTGATCTACAGCTTACGCGTTGCGAAAGCGGGTGAGGAATCTTGTCCTCTTTTTTTAGTAGCTCTACCAGTAAGATAGTTCATGTATGGTGCCACCTTACTGGGAATTTCTGGAGAGCGCCCTTTGCAATCTCCACATCACAGGTCACTCAGCTCCTTTCCAACTATCTGATTTTAGAGACAGTACCAAAACCTCTACTACGCTTAGACCTCTTTCAACAATAGAGATTCTTAAAGAGTGGCGAAAGTTCAGGGGCATGTCACACTAAGAAATAATGTATGTCATCCCCTCGTTGGCTGCGAAAGAGGTCTTTATCCAGGACAGGTGGAATGGGTGCACGATACCACTACTGTGGTCAAGCTGACTATACCTGTAGACTGAAATTCGGAAGTCCTTTTCTGTGTTCGGATCATGGTCGCTTGGAAGAGATTATGATCCCACGAAACCTCAAGTAAACCACAAACGTCACTCACTTTCCAACCAGGCTGTAGCATCCATCGTCAGGGTGAATAAAAATATAGTCTACGTGGCGACTAGCATCTCGAGGAACAAATCGAACGCATGTCTTGTCGTGATATTCCTGAACAGTTCATTTTTCAGCGGAACGATGAAAACAGCCGCATCCCCCCTCTCCTCCCCCCCCCCTCCCCTGAATCGTGAGCGCTAACAGAATTTCAGCGGAGAACGCTTCTTTAGAGATCACCCTCTCAGAGTTTGTTGCAGTTTCCCATGCCCTGGTCGCCTCGCTATATTGAAACACTCCTATCAAAGATCGTTGTTCTCTACCAATGCAATAGTCGGAAGGCTGGGAAAACTTAGAGGGTCAGTAGATTGGATGCGGGGGAGGGGGGTGGTTTGCACAAGAGGAAAGAATCGAGGGTATATCCTGTTTTGCCCCCAGACTGTAATATGAGGCTAATTGGATATCGACCGGCTAAAACATGATCTTGCCTGACGAACGTGTGCTCTTCGGAACTATTACACCAACACCGTTCAGCGATAAGAAAACAATCAAAAGTGTGATAGAAATTATCAAAGAGAATCTTGAGCGTCATGCGACAACCTAAAAACTACCTGCATAGCCTTGGCAATAACCGATCTGGCATATGAACCATACTGAGACGACAGCGTGTATGGGATTTCTCGATTTGGCCATCTCCTATAACATCATTTCACTAAAGTTCTTCTTGATTCTTCATGCCGTAACCGCTGTAATTTTCAATCGCTTGTGAGCGCCAATCAGAATGAGGGGGAGGTGAGGAGGGGAAGAGGTGGGTAGACTATTTATGTGAATTCTTGTCAATATACCGAGCACTGTGAGCACTGTGAGGTAATGCGGATGGACAACACTCCGGACAACTTTTCACCAGCCTACAACCAACCCCCTTAAATACTGTCAAGCTTGTCGAAAATGTAATGGGAAGGTTGGAAGTCCGAAATAAGGATGTGACGCTGAAGTGGGTAGCTACTTCTCACAAAATTCGGTCCTCCAATCCCAAAGCTGGTCCCATCAAGGCTCTGACAAAATCTATCCTCTCATCTACAATACCTACTCAGTATTCACATGTGACAGGTTACAGGATCTTAAAGCATGGTATGTCGACAAGAATTGGCACCGA